ATTTTTAACTTCAGAAATAGAATCAGCAGATAATGAAAACTGAAATACTTAAAGAAGAGAAGTAATGTTTTGAGATGGGGTAGTATGATGCCTTCTACTTCATTTTTGTTTTTCAGAAGAGCTTTGGTTATTTGAGGTCTTTTTTCCTTTCCAAATAAAATTGGAAATTGCCTTTTTTTGTCTCTTTGAAGAATGAATTTGGTTTCACTGAACAGCAGACATTCTGGAGTTATGAAAGCTAAATTAATTTCTGAAGCCATTGACCTGAGATAATATTTAAATCTTACAAATTTAAATCCCTGGAAACAGTCTTAAAATCAAGTAATTGTTTAATCAGTTAAAAATGTCGGCCTTAAGCATTATGCTCTTTAAAAATCATCTATATGGCATCAGACTGTTATATGGAACAGGAATGACAACAGTATCTCAAAAGTTTTGATTGGAACCCTTGAGGCCATTTCATTTATATTAGTGAGAGAGGAAGAACTTAGACGAAGGAGGTGAGAATGCACAAAGAAAGAATGTAATCATTGTCACTTTACTGTACGCGTAGAAATTTTTTAATTCTTGTGTTTTGCTGTATTTTCTCAACTATAACAAAAATAAGTTGTTTTGAAAATTGTCAAAACAATGAATGATGAACACAAAGGAACACTGTTGTTGTTGTTATTTGCTGTAGAGTCGCTTGCAACTCATAGCAATCCTATGTACAACAGCCCTAAACTCTGCTCTGTCCTGTGCCAATGGCACTGTCTCCAACACACCCATCCAGATTACCCCAGTCACTGAATCAGTCCACCTCATAGAGGGCCTTCTCCTCCTGCACTGTCCCTCCACCCTACCAAGCATGATGTCCTTCTCCAAGGTCCTTCCTTACAACATGTTCAAAGTATGTTAGACGGAGCCTCAAAAGCCTTGCCTCCAGGGAGCCACCCAGTTTAACCCTTTCCAGGATGAATCTGTTTGTTTTCCTAGCAGTCCATGGTATTCTCAATACTCTTTTCCAGCACCACAGCTCAAAGACATCAATTCTCCTTCTATCCTCCTTAGTCATTGTCCAACTCTCTGATGCGTAACAAGTGATAGCAAAGACCATGTCTTGTATCGGACGCACCTTAGTCTCCAGAGAGACACCGTTGCTCTTCAGTACTTTGGAGAGCTTCCTAACAGCAGACTTTCCCATGGCAATGCGCCTTTTCATTTCCTGGCTACTGGTGCCGAGAGTGTTGACTGTGGAGCCAAGCAAACTAAAGCTATGAACAATTTCAATCTCTTCACCATCCTTCACAAAGAAGGGTGACTCAATGTGGAAACTATAGAACAAAATTGGGAAGGGCATATGCCAGGGATGTGGCCTGTCTCCATACCTTTTTAACCTGTATGCAGAGCAGATTATCCAAGAGGCTGGGCTCTGTGAGGAGAAATGTGGGGTCAGGATTGGTGGAAGATCTATCAACAATCTGTGTTATGCAGATGACAGAACCCTGCTTGCTGAAACTGAAGAGGACCTCATGCACTTGCTGCAGAGGGTCAAAGACTGCAGCCTTCAATATGGATTGAGGCTCAATGTCAATAAGACAAAGGAACACTATGCTGTCATTAAATAGATCCTTTCTGTAATTACATCAGATTGTGAATGACAGTTTGACAAGACCGAAGACTTTATGATACTCTAACTTTGCTTAAAATTAATACAATTTATTGAGTGTTCATGGAAAACTGAGAGAGAATATAGTACATATAGTGGAAATTGTACTTATTTCTAAACCGTGATTATGTCTTTCTTCATACTTCCCTATAAATCTGAAATTTCTATCATATAAATTATTAGTATAAATAATTTTAAAAGATAAATTAGACTGCTCTGACAAATCCTTATATAAAATGGACTACTTTATCTTTTATACATAAAAGTTTTCATGTCTGAGATGTTAATAAACAATTAGTATTTTAATTTTTTAACTAAGTATCTCTGTTGTTCCCCTAAAAGTTGGCTTTTTTTTTTAAGCCGGTACAGTTGGCCCCCTCTGGTATTCGGCTACCTTTATTGCAAAAACATGGTCTTGCAAAATCTTTAGCAACTTTGGAACTAGGATAAGAGAAAGTGCTTCCCACTCTGGGCAGCAAGACTTGTGGGAACCTAGAGCGAAACACTGGTGGTAATCAGACCCTGATGATAGTGATGGAGAGACTGTGACTTTGATGTGGAGAAACTGGCAGTGTGTGACCTGAGGCTATTTTCATTTGTGCTGGATGCTTAAAGGAGAAGCTGGCATAACTATTTTGAGGCAAACCTTGACTATTGAGATTTGACAGCTGTATTGAAACCAAACCTGGACTAACTGAGGAATTGTGCTTTGAAATTTGGGCTAAAACCTAGACTAGTATTGAGTAATATGCTTTGCCTTTCCCACTCTCCTCCAATTTACTTTCCAAGTAAAACTCATTTTCAGTATCAGAACTGCGATTCTGTGAGTTAGCAATGAATAAACAAACTTCTTGCTTTTCAGGGAGACTCTACAGGCACCATGTGGCTCAGCTATGGGCTCTTATCTGCTGTCTGTTCTGGGACAGTGAGGGACTGTGCTGTTCTCACTCCTTCTGGCCTTTTCACAGATGCGTTCACCGCCCTGGGCCCCCATGTATCATTTTCTGCCCTTTAGATAGTAGCATATATGGTCCTATTTAGCCTTCCTCCTCCTCTAATTTTTTCTTTGTGTCCCACTCTTCATTGTTCTGTCATGATGTTCACTACTTACTGCAGAAATTTAATGTTCTTACTGAACATATAAATGATCCTTGTTTTTAAGTTTTTCTTTTTTAACCTTAAAAAGCTTACTTAAGACACCATAATTTTTAAAGACACTGTAATAAATACGTTAAAATATGCATCAATTTTAATTTGACCCATCTTTATGCTTTTTCCTTTTATTCACTTTAAAAAA